CATGTAACATTAACTGCATCAGATCTGTGAATTAGCATACGAATTGCAGTTTACTTGGTACTGTCATGTGTTTTTAGATCTGGCCTCTCAACAGAATGGACAGTGCATTTGGTTGAGTCCACGACCTGAAATTACGTTTATAGATCGTGTACGAGTTATATCAGGGTGTTCGTGCGTCACCATCCCTTCCTCACATATGGCACCTGCAACCACTGCTCCATAGTTCATGCCATGTCTTTTCACCCTTCTTCGCAAGCGCAGCTTAGAGGTCATGCCTAAAACCACGACCATAACGGGGGGGGGGGAAACATTTTTACGGACTTTAAAAGTTTTCTTACAGCGAAAATGTCTCCGATGTACGCGTATTAACATGGCAACAAGATAAGTTTGTTTACCATACCTACATTTTGTGTCCACAAACAAGTGCAAAATGTTAATTTCGAAATATATAGATGTTTGAAGTTCAAAGGATGTAGTATAAGATTTGGCCGTGGATGCTAAAACGGCATTTTGCTGACATTTTCGAGGTTGAAATAACTTGCTTATTCAAATTAAAGAGTACATCACTGTGGATGAACTTGGCTGAATTAAATTAAAAGGTTTACCGAGTGAGTTCGTTTTAATAGATGTCTGTTCTGCTGGGACCTACGGTATATACAGTATATGTATATATATGTGTGTGTGTGTGTTATTTAAATCGGCTTAAAATGGCTGTAACGTGTTGACACAGTTTTGTTACCAGACCTGACGGACCTCACGTCTACCAAAACCGAAATCATTGTTACTAAATTCGGGTACTATTGTTGGTTATGATATCTAGAGAAAGCGTGTGCTGCAAAGGTGTGACATTGTAGTAGCGATATACGTATATTTGTCACAGCTGTGATCGGTTCCTCTAATTTGTAACTACTTGCAGACTTAAACAGGTCCAGAACGAGCAAGCTTCAGTTTTATTCGTGTAGGTCTCTAAGGCTTCGTATTCAGCTGTTTGTGCAGGCAGCGAAGTCTGCTGTGAGTTAACATATTCTTTCCATGTTTTCCAAGGTCTACCTCGGTCGCAGCACCCTCTTGGTTTGTACTGCAGAGTCTGTAACGCTAGGAATATTAAAATTTTCCAGATGCCGAGGTTACCAGCCGACCATCACGAAGGTTCGTCTGGTTCCTGCTTCTTTTGACTGGCAAGGTTGGTATACCGGTAGCCACGTAGCTCCAGCGTGGCATTTGAGGCCATACCCAAACAAGAAGCGCGCGAATTGCCCGAATATTTTAGCAGCCTAATGAATTATCAATGTGGGGTTATTTAACGACGTTGTTGGATGGTAGGAGGACATACGTAAAGCTGTCCCTGTGCTTAAATAATTAAGCACTACGTCATGAAGACGTATGGGGGAGTGGATATGTAGATCCACGTATTCTTGACCTCGGCACTAGATGGAGGTGAGTAGTCAGCTTCACCCCCAGGGAAAGAGGCCTCCGTACATATTGGATAGGAAGTTGGGTGGACCCCAGGGCCTATCTGGACGACGTGGAGAGAAGAGAAATCTTGACCCTGCCGGGACTCGAAATCCGACCCCACGGTCGTCCAGTCCATAACCAGTCGCTATACCGACTGAGCTATTCCGTCTCCCAGAACTGATATATGATGAAGTGGAAAAGATTTTGAAGGAAGCGGTCGTGGCCTAATCGAGGTACTGTCCCAGCATGTGCCAGGCAGGGATAGCAGGTGCTCCCGAATGCTGGTGTAGAGCGGTGCCGTGCAGTGTGACTGCTCAGAATTCCGTTTTGCGACACGAGTGTCAGGGTATGAGCTCTGAAACTGGCGGCTGAACCGCGCCCCTGGGGACACTTGTCCCTCCATGCGGGCTCCGTTACGAGTTGTATGTTCAGAGACCGGACTGCTTGTATTTTTCGAATTTTTTTGTGGCCTAGTGGTCAGAGTTCCTGGCTACAGATCCTGAGGTCCGGGTTCGATTCCCGGCGCTACTAGATTTTCTGAGAAGTAGTGGGTCTGGAACGGGGTCCACTCAGTCTCGTGAGGATAATTGAGGAGCTGTTTCAAGGAAATAGCGGCTCCGGACTAGAAAATTGAAATTAACGGCCGTGGGGATTCGTTGTGCTGACCACTCGACACCCTCTGTCCGCAAAGTTGGCACTAACTTCGCCGACAAGCGGCGGTCGCTCGGTCGGTATAGTTCGCTTGCGGACTAAAGCCACGGAGTTTGTTTTTTGTATTCTCTCCGAGTGTTTGTATGTCATTTGACCTCAGGTTTGTCTTTTGGTTATGTAAGCCTTGCAGCGAGACAAAACTCATATCCATATGTAGTTAGTCTAAGCATGACAGTATGCGTTAGATGGGGTAGTGTGAGGGCTCCCAGAGCCACCAGACAGTAAGATATGGTCGTGAGTCCCACGGAACTTGGAACCGAGAATAGCTGAATGGGATGGTTGGATTTATTGACACTTCTGTTACAATTACAGCCGACCCGCTCCACTCCTTACTGGACTACGAGTGTCTTTTCTTCTGCTGTGACTGACTTGGTTCTGATTTACGAGTCACTCACTTCTTCAGCTTCCGCTGTCCGCTGGTTAAGGCTCCACAGCTGAACACTCAACTCTCTCACGACGACTGACTCAGTCTGAGTCTGTCTTATGTTACGACCGGCGGTGAGTCGGCCAGTCTCTCGGAAATGAGGCACCCACCTGGGGCCTATGACCAGATTTTTATTACTGTCAGACAGTTGCGGGTTTGCTGATGTTGGCTGTCCCTCTGACGAGAGGACGGGTCTGTCGTTTACAGTTACTGCTGGTCCACACCAGCGCAGTCATTCTCGGGTCTGAGTCCCGTGGGACTCGCGACCTTATTTTATTGATTCAGATTCGAGACTTCCTTTTACGTCGCTTCCTACAACTCGCAGGGCTACGGTGGAGGCATTCGACCTCGCCTCCACACGGGATAAGTACTTTACTTACGTGTTGGCCGCGCCATAGCTCAAGCGGTTAGTCGCTAACTTCCCACCTCGGCGGCCCGGGTTCGAGCCCGGGTCTGGTCAGGTGGGATTTGTGGTAGACAAAGTGGCGCTAGGGCAGGTTTTCTCCCCTGACAATCTTCATTCCACCAAATTCCCCATCATAATCACCCGGGTTAGGTACAATGGGCCAGTCACTGGCCGACGTGCCGAGTGGACCCAGCTGGACTCCACCCTCCCACTATGAGAAAATACTTACTTGTTGAATCAGTTTTCTGCACTCCCACTTTTATAGTCTAGCGCGTATCCTTGGAAGTTTCTCAGGTAGTTTCACTTTCAAATTTTACAGTTTCGAGACTAATCGACAGCATGAATTGTAGTAGAGAACGTGAGTTAAATAAACGGATTGGAGCAGTCGAGGGTTTCCCTACGCAGGTAGATGGAACCACTGACTTCGCCGGACGCTCTGTTGCCATCTGTGAGGTACCCTAAGTTGAAGAGCGGACGCCGTTACGGCAAACCTTTTCCTGTTCTTACCACAGATACTCTCAATCAAACTGACCTGTACGAGATTGAGATAAGTTGGAAGCAGTGTGTTGATATTTACACAGATGGCGCGGGGAAACGCGTGGGTTTGTTGCACCTGTCAAAGCCGTTGCACTGAAATGCACCAATAGCCACATCATTCATCCTCACACTGTTCCTTAAACGTTCCCCACGCACTCAAAATGGCGTTCGACCAGAATGTGGAGATTTACATTTTACAAGATGAAGGCCATTGTATTCGAGAAATTCTGTGCCCATTTTCTCGAGACGGGTGGCAGTTACATCTTCGATGGTTATGCACGAGGCAGAGTTTCGTTTCGAATATTCACACGGCACTCAGAAATGTTGTTGTTCAATGTTGACCATCTTTTCCACCTTCCATCACGTCTTTGTGAAATTGTGTGGTTCCAGAGTTTTATTAGACCTGGGAGACATTTTACCAAACGGATGACAATATACAGTTTTGAAAGAACCACAGACTGTTTTCAGGTATTGAAATCTTTTCTTCTGTCGAACTTGATCATGTAAGTGAACTCCGACAATAATTTAGAATCACCTTGTGTAAACATGTAAAATCCCGCTCTTTGAGATATAAGTGCTTCACGGCTATGGCAGTGAAGTGTTAACTGCCTTCATGGAATTGACTCTCTGTAGTTTTATGTATTTTTATCGATGTTTTGAAGGAACTTGCTGCCACCATATTTGTTTACTCCGAAGATGAAGGCAGCAAGTTTTCCGAAACGTCGCGAAACATGTACCGGACTACAAGACGCCATATACCAGAACGCAGTGGTTTGTAATCTTGCATTTTCTTCTCCTGTCCGCTTTTGTCTGGTAGGCTTAATTACACAAAGCAGTGTACATTCATCGCTGCTTCTTCGATGGACTCTTTACAAGGAGCTGGTCTCGATCACTGGACCAGCTCGAGGCCTCCACTCCTGATGACGGAAATGGATCCAGCTTCCGAAACTTCGTAGAAGCATACCTCGGTTTCATTGCGCTTCGCAGTTTCGCGATTTTTTTACAAACTGAAGGTTTGTGGCAACCCTGCGTCGAGCAAGTCTGTCGGCGCTATTTTTCCAACAGCTTGTGCTCACTTCGTGTCCCT